GTAAGAGAACGGGCCACTTGTACGAACAGATGCAGGGCATGAGTTTCTACCTTGGAATCCGGTCCCGCCCGCGCCGTGCACGTGTGCCTCCAATGGCGCTACACTGGCAATGAGAACGGCCATTGTAGAACAGAAATTGCAGGGCATGAGTTTCTACCCTATTGGAATGCCGCCCGCCCGCGCCCTGTGCACTTGCCTCCATGGCGCTACCTGCAAGAGGAACGGCCATGTACGAACAGATGCAGGGCATGAGTTTCTACCCTATTGGAAGCACCGCCCCGCGCCCGTGCACCCTCCTCCATGGCGCTACCTGCAAAGAGAACGGCCATTGTACGAACAGATGCAGGGCATGAGTTTCTACCGCTATTGGAATGCCCGCCCGCGCCAGTGCACGCCTGCCTCCAGCCGCTACTGCAAGAGACGGCCATTGTACGAACGATGCAGGGGCATGAGTTTCTACCCTATTGGAATGCCCGCCCGCGCCCGTGCACGTCTGCCTGCCATGGCGCTACCTTGCAAGAGAACGGCCATGTACGAACGAGCAGGGCATGACGGTTTCTACCCTATTGAATGCCCGCCCCGCGCGCCCGTGCACGTGCCCTCCATGGCGCTACCTGCAAGAGAACGACCATTTAACGAACAGATGCCAGGCATTGAGTTTCTACCCATTGGGAATGTCCCGCCCGCGCCACGTGCACCCTGCCTCCATGGCGCTACCGTGAAAGAAGCATGACGACAGATTCCCAGGGATAGTCTACCATGGAATCCCGCCCCGGACGTCAGCGCACTGCGACGGCCTTGGCATGCAGCATGAGTTTCTACCCTATGGCCACCGCCGTCATGCCTACCTGCGCACCTGCCAGAACGCCATTCCAGATTGAGCGAGTTCTCCATTGGTCGGCGCCGTCACCTCCCTCTGCCTACTGAGAGAGACTGAGAGGCAGGCATGGTTTCTACCCTGCGAACCGCCCCGTGCGTATGGCTACTGGCAACAGAGATGATATGTCCGCCTCCCGCCCCCCAAATCTTCTTTAGTCATTACCAGCTCCCGACGTGCATTACCGTGGTCACTTCGCTCGTGAACCTTACTAGTCTAGCTGATTTCGTCACAGACGCTCCTCTCATATGTTGTTTTTTAACAGATGGTTTTGTCAACATAGGCTTTGTGTCACATCTGTTTTGCTCACTAGCAACGCAGCAACTATTTGCTCTCTTTAGAAGACTGAGCGATCCGCACGTTACCGATCTCTTCTGTTCGCGCGTCTCAGACCACAAGTCTATAGTCTCTGAAAATTAACTTCATACGTAACACGTCAACTGTGCAATGCAGCCGCGTCTGCAAAGTTTACACCATCCGCAGTGCCACCGATCATTCAAAAAACCGACGCTCAGGTCCATTGGCTGGCTCCGAGAGCGCCGCATCTTCTTTATACCAGTCTTAATGTTTAAGTAGCTATTTAACTAGTAATACAACTACCCATTTAGCGTTATTAATAAGTTTTAATAATAAATAGGAAACAAATAACCGTATTTTCCTTATTGCAATACTAGACGTGTGTAGATAAGAAATGCAATTTTTGTAATGCTTGCAAAAAAAAACGGCGATATCATGAGACAAGACTAATTGTCTGTGTACACGCCGACGTACATACTGGTACTGCCGTGGATATTTGCTTTTCATTTATGTAGGAACAATAACATCTATTAAGACGTTGTATAGTTAGATGTCCACGTTTTCGGGGTCCTTGACATCGGAAAAAGTTTTTTATTCTATGGGCAGAACGTCCGTGTGTGAATGAACGCAAGCGGCTAAACTGTAACACGATTTTCACCAAGCTTGATTATTCGCAGACTGAAATGGGACTGATGCAACGCCTCTTTATCTGAAAATAATGTTTTGATTGTTTGGAGTACTTTAAATGAAGCATTCAACGCTCGTTTTCAAAACTTTTCCTAAAAAAAATGCTACACTTTTTTCCTGTATAAGATTTTTGCTTTTCTATTGCAAATGACGCTTCCTATTTCTCAAACAAATTGGATTGTTTAAATGCGGCAGTATATTTTCTTGTAGCTTCAAATAGTTTTTTTCGTAATTTTTGCGTACAATATATGGCAATTTCAAGAACAAGATTTGGTGTAAAAAAACAGCTTTTTTTTTTGTAAATAATGAAACACTGTGTTTACAAAAATGTCATTAAGTCCGATTTTATCGATAGGACACTAATTTTCGAAATTGTTTTCTCCATAGGTTACAATAATTGTAAAGACTAACTTTCTTGTTTTTCACTAGTAGTTTATATTTTGACTAAGAACATTACACAATGCTATAGCGAGAAACAAATAAATTTAAAACAACAATAAATGAATTACGATAGTTTGAAAAACAGTTGATTTTTTGTATTCTTTTCTCTCAGAAATGGCATCATAATGAATATTAGAAGTCCTACTTACGGATCAACTGCAATTTTCAGTTCCTTCTGGAGAGATAACATCGCCTCAGCCGCGCTGTTGCTTCAAGTATTGCAGAACATATGGATAATGCTTTAGTCCTGAAAGTGGCAGAACTGTTATTTTATTCTTCAATTGATGTAACACAAAATGTTTTTTAGTTTCGCGTTTAGATGAAATGAATAAAAATATCACTTTTACTCACACTAATTTTTTTTTTTAAAAACAAAAGAAATTTGCAAAATCTATTTTTTACAAAATAATAAGTAGAATATGTATGGTGTAGAATTAATTCTTGACATTGGGGAATTGATTTCCAGTGGAAGGTATCCCATCCGGTTACTCTTCATCTACTTCTTCATACTATAACAAAAAGCAAGGTATTATTTGGCGTTTACTGCAGTGGGATAGTTTAGTAGCTGAAGGGCTAATGTGTTTCAGTTTTTTGGTTGAGATCTATCTGGGGTTGTTAGGGGTGAGTTGCTGGTTAGTCGATGGATGTCTGCACTATTGTCTAAGGATGTTGAGGGCTAAGTGGTTTGGAATGGTTTTCAAGGCGCTGGAGATAGTTTTGAGCTGAATAAATTCTATTCTTTCCAAGGAGCAGTGGGGCATTTTTAATGTCCTTGGTGCAGTGCTGCATTTGTGATGAACACCATGTGTGCTGCGCGATCATGTCTTTAAGGTCTTGGATTGAAACTCTGGATGATCGAGAGATTACTCTCTTGCTTGCCGTGCCCCAGATTTGGTGATGCCGTAGGTCCATATTGGATTACGATAGCTTTTATAGTATCAACAGATTTTTATTCCAGTTGATAGTTTTGAGTGGATATCCTAGTATCAGTATAGTTTTCTTATTTTGAAGTTTGAAAGGTGCTTTTTTTTGGCTAAGATGTGATGCTTCCATGTTAGCCGTTTGTCTAGATGTATTCCCAAGTATTTTACAACTTTCACTGTACTATGGATTGTTGTTGATGTGGGACAGTAGGGCATTTTGTTTTTTCTCAGGTAAAGTTATAATGGACCGTGATTTATTTTCGTTGATTTTTATTTTGCCACCTTTTTGCCCAATCTTCAATCATTATGAGATGTTCTTGTAAATGTCTTGATGCGACATTAGGGTCGTCATCCGAAGCTAGTATGGGCCGTATCATCTGCAAAAGTGGCTATGGTTGTTTTATTCTGATTTTGGTATATCAGTAGTATACAGCTGGTATAGGGATAGGGCCGAGTACACTACCTTGTGGTACTCCGGCCTTGAATTGGATGGAACTCAGATAAATTCATGGCTCCGCCGTGGCGGCGCGCCTCTCCGAGAACCCCGACTGGTCCGTGCTGCTGCTCGAGGCCGGGGGGGACCCCCCTGCCGATTCGGACGTGCCCATCACGTGGGTCGCGCAGCAAAACACGCCCGTGGACTGGGCGTACAGGACGGAGCCCGACGAGAAAAGCTGCGGAGCCATCAAAGATGGACAGTGTCGCTGGCCTCGAGGCAAGGTAAGAGGATCTCTCATACTCAATTTCAATCACTTTCGTAAGAATAATTATAATATATATATATATATATATATATGTAGTGTCACTTTCGTTATGAAAGTATCATACACAATATAGTCTGACACCAAAATGCTGACATTGTAAATTATGCAGGATATCTCTAAACATAATGGCAACTTGACTTGAAAGAGAGCATTTTCATTACCAAATCTCACGTGCAATGGTGTATACTGTGCGTTCCTTATAATGTGGAAAATGTGGAGTCTTATTGGCAGCAGCACTTAAAGATGCGGTTTCACGAGGATCTGAATCAGATGACTCATGCTCAACAATAGTTTTCAATCATTTTTCCTAGAAATTTAAAACATTTAACAACCTAATTGTACATGTTATAAATAACTATAAATCAAGAAGTATAACTTAATTTTAAACACACTTTGAATGAAATATTATTTATCATACAAACATAAGTGAAGTAGACCTTAAAAACCTCCTGTTTGAGCCACAGATTCTTATATTCGAGGAAGTTTCCTGCAAAATCTTTTCAATCAAATACGTCTTCTTGCAAGAAGACGGGCCCCTTTCTATTTCTTCAGGACGCGCAATTGACATATTCCCCGTTGCGCCAGTCGCCGCAGCTGTAGTGGGAAGTGGCTGAGGTCAGCAGCTAATCTCTGCGCAACACTTGCGACATTTTACGGCGAGAGGAATCCTTTTTATTCACTTTAATGTACTAGTAGCGTTTACGACCTTATGTTTTGTTTACATATTGATTGAAAGTAACCCTCTAGAATTTTTCCACATTGCACTACTGTGTATTTAGGCTTGTGGTAAATGTTTTCATTTATCGTTTAGTAGTATTTTATTGCTAAGTATATGAGATTTCGTTTGGGCAGTCTTATTACAATTTTCGCTGAATATACTTGACGTCGTTTAATCAAGTGACTCAGCTTACTCTTTGTCAAACTGCCTTTTTTTTAGAATGCTGTATTAGAATGACTGGTCAATATTCTCTTTTAAAAGCCAATTTCCGAGACTTCAAGGGCGTTTTCTATGATAACGACTACTATGATAATGATTCAGCAGAAGCAATTTCTGATATGAGAGTAACTACTTATTATATATTTTTCATTAAGTTTACGAGCCACTTCATAAATACTGTTATGTAATGTCAGAACTATGGTACATTATTGTGGTCAACAATAATATGCATCATTATTTTAAGGATAAAATATTTTATATTCTTAACGTTCCATATTCGAAAGACCATATTGTATGACATTTAAATATAAAATAAACAAATTGATTAGTATGTACAAGGTATTATGTGCACAAAATATGCGTTATGTCAATCGAGAAATAAATATTTTCAGATATAATATACTTTATATGAAATATATCTGAAATAAGATTTAATCTGTACAGAAATGTGTGTTTTCAGAGGCCATCTGATTTTATTGCAAGGAGGAACTGTTTACTATTGGAAGAAAGAATGCCAAAACTATTGTAATGCTTTTACATATTGTGTTTTCCATTTCAGTAGATCATGATATTTATTGATATTTTATAATAGTTACCGCCACTTTATTTAAATTTTTTAGGGATATAATCATTCGGAAAAATGAAAATCGTAATCCAAATTGGTATTTTTTCGTGGTTACAATTTTAAATTATTGAAGCATTCTAAAGAGAATAAAAATGACAAAAGTAGTTTTAAAAAATAAAGTCAAAGACCTCAAAGAAAATTTTCTCTTGACGCCTCAATCAATGAAAAAAGTGTACTGAAATGGAAATAAATATAAAATATAGAAACGTATAACTGCACTGCTTAAACCCCAAGTATAAAAGCACTAACCAGCGTAATGTCTGATGACTTTGTGTGCGTGGATACAACTTACATGTATGAAAAATCAATTTAATAAATAATAATAATAATAATAATAATAATAATAATAATAATAAATTGGTCGGACCCGTGGCCAAGACGGTTGCTGCATCCGTCGTCTGCGCCAAGGGGGCTGCAGGTTCGAGTCCTGTGTATAAATGGTAGAATTTGTCATTGTTCCTTTACCTATCATTATCTCATACTTCACATTTCAAGGCGTAAGAACGTTGTCGCACTGGGATGCAGCTGAAAAGCTAAGCCTAGAAGAATTACACACTTAAATCGTATAGCGTAGTCAGCAATAGTCTATGGTCTATACGCTATAATAACAATAATAAGTATAACAACAATAACAACAACAATAACAATAACAACAACAATAACAACAATGTCTGCTGCAGATGCTGGGAGGCACGAGCAGCATCAACGCCAACGTGTACATCCGAGGGCACAAGTGCGACTACGACCACTGGGCGCAGATGGGCAACCCGGGCTGGGCGTACGAAGAGGTGCTGCCCTACTTCAAGAAGTCCGAGAACCTCGTGGACGACGAGCTGTTCGAGGTGGACGCGCGGGCCAGCCACTACCACTCGCAAGGCGGCCCGCTCAGCGTGCAGCACTTCCACCACGACGCCCCCGTGGGGCCCGCCGTGCTGGACGCCGGCGTCGAGCTCGGCCTGCCGCGCCTGCGGGACCTCAACGGCGCGCGGGCCGCCGGCGTCGGCCGCCTGCACGCCACGCTGGCGCAGGGCGAGCGGTGCAACAGCGCCAAGGCCTTCCTCGGAGGCGCCGCGGGCAGGCCCAACCTGCACCTGGCGCGGGGCGCCTTGGTGACGAGGGTGCTGGTCGACCCGGCCACCCGGCAGGCGCGCGGGGTGCGCTTTCGGCGCGGCGGGGAGGCGGAGCAGGACGTGCTCGTGCGCAAGGAAGTCGTCGTGTCGGGCGGGGCCGTCAACACCCCGCAACTCCTCATGCTGTCCGGCATCGGCCCGCGCGCGCACCTGGCGCAAGTGGGCGTGTCCCCGGTCATCGCCGACCTGCCCGTCGGAGAGAATCTGCACGACCACACCATGTACCTCGGACTGGTGCTCTCCTTGGACCCCCAACAGCCCTTCGACCCACTGGACGCGGCCTACGAGTACCTCAAAGACAAGACGGGGCCCTTCACTTCGGCTGGGATCACGGGTGTCTCCATGTTCTTCCACACCAAACAGAAGCTAGGGGTGGACGACGAGAAGGAATGCGTCAACATTCAAGTTCACATGTTCCTTGTTCACCGAAATAACACCATGGAGTTCGACGCATTTATGCAAAACGTGGGTTTTGACGATCACGTTCTGGAGCAATTTAGAGCTATTTGGCGGGAGAAAGACTTGTTAATTATTGCTCCGTTGTTGCTGTTGCCCAAGAGTCGAGGTCGAATTGAACTGAAGAGTACAAATCCAGAAGATCATCCGAAGATAACGTCGGGTTATTTTTATGACTCGGAAGACATAGAGACTCTCGTGGATGGAATTGAGGTGAGTAATAAAATCAAGGTAAAATATGAATGAGCGGTAATATGAACTAAAATCTATAATCAGAAAATTATGTTGTTTTCTTAATTCATCGAATAACGCATACTACATAATTGTAGTTAGCCATTGTTTTTAATTTGAAATTTTAAGAAATTTGACCAACAAGTAGTTATTAAATGCACTATCATAAATTAGGAAACAAATCAGTATAAAAAACTACTAATAGAGTGGTCATAACAAACAATATAAACTGACAGGGATTTCAAAACTGCCACATAATACAATAAGACGTCAGTAATATAAGGAAGAACCGACAATTGAAGAGCTCAGTAGAATATGGGGCTATGTCACATTTACATGTTTTTATGATATTGAGTCATTAGCATTAAATAATACATCAAATATTATAATGTTAGTTTAATATGTTATTTAAACCCTATATATATATATATATATATATATATATATATATATATATATATATATATATATATACATATATACACAAGTGTTCCGAGTTTACAAGAGTACTGAATTATATAATTAACCCTCTTTGTAAAATCATCAAATATCTCAGAACTTGGTCAATGTGGGATAGCCCCTTGTTCCACCGAACCCTTCAATCGTGACTGTTCGCTTAAAAACTAGAATTTCCGTAAAACCTAATGACAAATTGAATCGCTTGTTTTACTTTTAAACAAACAGCATACCAATAATACTGATATCCCCTAAAATGTCAGAGAATTTTGTCATGCACTAAAAAGTGACCGATAGTGCGGAAAGTCCAAATTTTTTTCGAATAAAGAACGATTTCAAAAAGAGAAAAATGTGTTCGATCTGGAAAGACCAAATTGCTATGTACGATTACAACGAATTTGCTAGTTTTAAAAAATTCTACATGGAGACTGGTATACTTTGATGAGGATTTTGGAGGACCTCAGTTTCTCTAAGATTGGCGCAAGGAATTTCGTGAAATCCTGGCTCGGCAGAAATTCTTCAACAAAATGAAAGATTTTGATAGAAAGTATTGATTGTTTTGTTTTCGATCACGTTAATTGCTACAGTAATTATTCCTATAAGTGTAGTACATATTATATCCTGGAATTTGTCTCCATCCCCGCAAACATTTCGGTTCCGGCATACACATCGGCTAGTAGAGTATATTCCATCTAGGTTTTTCCTCTCAGCGTGGCATCGCCACAACCGGGCCAAGCTCGAAGTATGCAACTGATCTATCGTAAGCCTGATAATGCAGAGCATGTGTGAATGTAAGATGGAAAGATGGCTCCTTTTTTAAGGCACTGCTTCTCCATTCACCTAGTATTGGTCGGAGAAACCACAACAAAAGCACGATGAGTACAGACGATCTCTAGAATTCTCTTCCAGACAACACGGCTGATTCCAATCTAGCAATCTCCTAGTGCCGGGAAGTAGAGTAGATAATACTTTTTCAGATGAACTAGTTAGCATTCTCGTAATAAACACACACTGGAATTCAGATATGATTTTTGTTCTTATTTTTCGATCACAACTGGATAATGAGCGTAGTGTATACATGGCAGTAATACTCCCTCAACTTATTTGTCGTTTGCCGTAATGTCGCTGCCACTGATGGCTTTTATTCCTTCGGCCAGGGGCTCGACGTCGTCAGTAACGGGAGTTCCCACACGGTCACCCCTCCGGGAAAGCATGGTCCTCGAATCACTTAACTTCCATGGCTTCACGGAGTGTAGTTGGCCCATTCGGCTAACATGAGCGGCAAAAATTTAGTAGCGCCTTTTTGGCAACTACATTCCTTAGCCATCGTTTGGGCGTGTGTGTATATGTAAATGTCTTGGAACGTGGCAGTCACCATTGCCTTTCATCCCTTCCGGCAGCGGCTCCGGGCCGCTAGTTCCCCATAGGCACCCATCCGGCCATCCGTGGCGCCTCGAATCGCTTAACCCCCGTGACTTGCGTGCCCACAGACCGCCGTCCGCCTGGGCTCGACGCGGGCGCTGCGGGCGCTGGGCGCGCGCTGGGAGCCCATCGTGCCCAGGGCGTGCGAGGGGCTGGCGTACGGCGCGCGCGACTTCTGGCGGTGCGCCGTCACGCAGCTGGCCGACACCGTCTACCACCCAGTGGGCACGGCCAAGATGGGCCCGGCGGCCGACGCCGGCGCCGTGGTGGATGCGCGTCTGCGCGTGCGCAGGGTCAAGGGGCTGCGCGTGGTCGACGCCTCCGTCATGCCCGTCGTGCCCAGCGGCAACACCAACGCGCCCACCATCATGGTGGCCGAGAAGGCCGCCGACATGATTAAGGAGGACTGGGCGCTGGGGAACGAACTGTGATAGGCGGGGAACAGGTGGACGCTGCTGATGCTCAGGGCCTGCAGCAGCTGTTCGGGTAACGTTCCACCTGGAGCCAAGTCCGTTGGGCAGCTGGCCTTCTGTCTGGTTGCTACCGGACGGTATTCGGTTTGTTGCCGTTAGATATATCTGCTTGCGTCTGGTATTGCAATGTTCGGTACAGGTCTGTCACTTTTGTAAGAATACTTAGTAGATGCCTAAGCTTTCGACTGGTATGACAGGTATGCTTCTGTTCGGTAGAATCAACTCCACTAAATATGTGGTTTTCTTTCTTGCAGCTACGAAGATTACACACTCCTACCAGACGGAAGAATAGTCGTGTCTAGTAGACGCAAATGCTTCTGTTTAGTCCATCTAGATAGTCCAGCAATGATAAGCAAGACTATGATTCTTTCTGTTTGTCTCCCATACTACCTTCGCCTTGTAGCAAAGACCACCAAGCGCGTGTGCTTCCGTTTACTATAGCCAAGTCCAGAAGGCCATTATTATCCGTTTCTTCCCCAGCAATTCGTTCTAGTCGCAAGCTTCCGACTTCAGAAGTAGTCCCATCCACAGTGCCACAGTGCCTAAACAGGGAATATATTGTTTCCTTATTCTGTTTTATCTTTTTGCGATAGTACTACACCAATCACCAAAGTGCGAACCACAAGAGTCAAACGATGTCATTTTCATTCCTTTCTTCCTTCCCTGCACACTTCTCGTGGCTGAGACTGGTTTTAGATCAAGTTTACTGACATTTTTCCTTCTTGACATCGGAATTACAAACACAAACATACATTTTTTCCAACCCCAATCTTTGAACTTGACTCAGATCATATACCCGTATATATAATAACCCGTAATAACTCGCCAATTACCACCCCCTCACTTCCCTCCGATTAAACAAAATACCTTCAAGGTAATCTGGCATAAATTTCATAAACCATTAAGTAATGAAACTCCTTAATTTAAAATCTTTAATAATCCTTTACAAATAGAGAAGTCAACACACTATTTCACGTCACACTCCAATCCACTAAAAAGCACACACACGTACTAAAACCGATAATCAAAACACACTACCCCCTGAAATTATAAATGCAATAAAAATCAAGAATAAAACTCGTAGGGCTATGAGCAAATACTACAAATCCCGATTTAAAAATAGAACTTAATCTAATCACAAAATTAGTCAAAAGACTAATAAAAAATTTTAATGATCGCCAATACGCAAGTAAAATCCAATCTCTCAATCCCCAATATAATTCGATATGAGAGTTCACAAAAAAATACTTAAAAAAAACGATAATACCACCTCTCAACAAGTTATCAGGTAAATCATATACATCAATAGAAAACGTCGAAGAGAGCTTCATTCTTCGAACCCACATTGACAACAAACAACACAAAACCACCCAGAACACATACAATAATTAAATCTATTGCGCAACCCCAATACGGACCCCATCAAAGAATACACTACACTTCACCAAATGAAATCAAAAGTATAACAAAAAACTTGCATAACAAAAAGTCTCCCGGGCATAACAACAAACAACTTTATAATAAAAAAAATCCCTCAAAGGCAATAGCATTTCTAACTTTATTTATATAATTATTGTCTGAGAAAAAGGCACTTCCCCCATTCATGGAAATACGCAATAGTTATTCCAGTACCAAAAACGCAACAATCGCCAATAGTTATAGACCAATACGTTTACTGCCCACCCTATCAAAGATATTAGAAAAAATGATATTAAAACGAGTAAGTAAACACTTAATAAGCACCAAAGCAATACCTAAAGAACAATTTGGTTTCATGAAACAAATCTCCCCGCAACACTAACCCTTGAGAACCACGGAAGACATGTACTCGTAATTTCAGAAAAAAAAAATCATACAATAGCCTTATTCATAGACATAACCCAAGCATCGATAGTCTGCCACGAAGCATCAAATTACAAAATCAGAAATGCTGCGATGCCTCACCGCCGAAATAATAAAAGACCTGACCTTTGCAGTTGCAGAAAACAATCATCAATCTAATCCCAAATTAATAATGGCAGGTTTACCCCAAGGCTCCCCCCTTTCACCCACTCTCTTCAACCTATACGTAGCCGATATCCCCCAATAAAACGGAATCCATATTGAACAATTTGCAGGCAATACAGCCATATTGTCATCCGGAACTACATTAACAGATATAAAAATGAGACTTCAAGTATCCCTAAATCAAATCCAAAGCTGGGCTTGCAAATTTAAATTTCTCCTGAATCCAACTAAAACTACAGCAAAAATTTGTACTCTGAGACGGTAAACGTCCCTCCCCCTTAATCATAAACAATGCTTAAACAAGCTGGTACCCTCCTAATAAACCAATCAAATATCTGGAATTAAACATTGACACGCGCTTTAATTAGAAACAACACATTGACATCAAAATTAACCAAGGCAGAAATAAATTACATCAACTCAAACCTCTTATAAATAGAAATAGCCAGCTGCCCTACAACACAGCTCTGATATTATACAAAACCCAAATAAGAGCCCTGTTGCTGTACGCTTGTCCGGAATGGTTAAATGCATCCAAAACCAACAATAAAAAAAACAAACCATACAAAATCAATACCTAAGGATAATAACAAAAGCAGCATGGTATGTTTCTAACAATCAACTACATAAAGAATTCTGCAGCAATTAACCCATTACATCTCTTACCTCTCCTATAACTTTTATATAAATATCATACAAAAACAGTCCCTATCCGAATTCACGCTGTGCAGAAACCCAACCGACAGCACAAGAATAAAAAACAAGTATCCCTTCCATGTGTTCCTTAAATTGTACTCTAAAATGTAATAAATAGAGGTGCTTCATAGGTTTCCTCAATCAATGTTTTAGCTGTAATAATCTAGTTATAAATTAGTTTCTAAGCAACAAATGCATGAGACAAAGTTATTGTAATAACCGAACCATCCCCTAAAAATGTAATAAATATATTTTAAAAAACTGACAATGTTCCAAATTTCCGAGATACTATACCTAATGTTGTGTAAAATAAAAAAAAATTGCAAGCAAACGAGGGTTTGGGCACGTGCCCCTTTTACGTTCCGGATGACTGGGGGCCGGTGGCAACTTGTTAACCAAATGAAATCGACGGTGTCACGTTGGGCTCAGCACCTTCACATTCAATGCACGTTCAATAGACACGATTTCGCGTCTCGGTAATTATTGAGGAAAGGAATGGATTTCATCTAGAGAGAGTTTATTTATCGAGCAAAATATTATCGACAACACCCACCTGTTTGAGTCCCACGTATGTCCACTCTAAAAATCAATGGACGATCTCGCTGTGGATATAAACAAATATTCTCGTAATAAATTCCAGAGTTCATCGAATCTGGAAGCAGATACATTCTATTAATTAGATCGCGGATGAGCAAGATACCTTCTAATAATTAAATACAGTAAATTAAAGATGTTGTCTGGTATCGAAAAATATATTTTGCTAATAATCGTTTCGAGCGCGTAGCGACCATCCTCAGAGCTAAAATAAAATTACATTTATAATTTAATTATATATATATATATATATATATATATATATATATATATATATATTATAAATTACATTTGTAATATACTTCCGAGCCAGGATTTCACGAAATTCCTTGCGCCAATCTTATAGAAACTGAGGTCCTCTAAACTCCTCATCTAAGTGATACCAGACTCCATGTAGAATTTTTTTAAACTAGCAAATACGTTGTAATCGTACATAGCAATTTGGGAGCTGTAGATCGAACAATATGTACCTGAAAAACAGTAAAGTGGTGATAGAGCACATTTATTAATGTGATTTTATTTCTGTAATTTTATTTTAGCTCTGAGGATGATCGCTACGCGCTAGAAACGATCCTTAGCAAAATAAGTTTTTCGATACCAAACAACATCTTTAATTTACAGTACTTAATTAGATACATTCTATTTAATATTTTCAGACTAAAAATTATTTTAAGTTATTAGTAGTTATAAAGAAACATTGCTTTTCTTGAAAATAGCCTTGAAATTAACTGGAAAAACAGGTCAATGTAACCGCGAATTCTGTTTTCTACTTTATACAGGTTTTGTTAAGTGCAATCCACACAGGTATATAGGAACGATAACTCTGAGGACGAATACCGACCTTCGTGGTTTGAGACAAGTAGAAACATGAAGGAAAAATAATGGAATTAATACAATATTCAAATGCTTCGTCAACCATACAAAAATCAAGGGAATTAAATTCATAACCACGCATCTTCTTATCCCTAAATGTATACTTTACACCTGATGAATTTTCGCTTTAATAGCTCGAATATTATTCGTTATACTTACTTCAGTATTTTTCCAAGATTGTAACTACTTAAACATACTTTAACAAAATACTTCGTTCTCTAAGGCCATTTTCTTTATAAAATTAATACATGGAAGATAACTATCAAAACAATGATATTTATTGAAGGAAAACCTGATCATAAAATATTAGCAAAAAATAAACATTTAATTTGTATCGTAATAGTCTCTACTAATTGCCTGAAACTTTTCCACTTCCTGGTTGTATCAAGTATATTACATTTATCTTAACAGTGTTCTCTATCATTCAGGAGATACTGCATATGAACAAAAACTGCACCTACTGCTTGAAAACCGTAGTGATACCAACAAGCTATAAGAAACAAGAAAATACAACACACACGAAACGGCAGGTTAGAGGAAAAGAAAACCAAATATTCAAGAATTTGAAAATTAAATGCGGAATGCAAAAACAAAAGGAAAGAACAAAACTTGCCTCTTAAAAATAATTAAGAACTAAAATATTTCTTTGATAAAAGAGTGCAAGGAAACACGTTCACTCAACAACCACAACTGGGATTAAACGAATCCAAGGAAGAAACGAGTTTACCATTCATTTAAAAGTTCACTTCCGTACACTTCCATGGTTTGGACGTTAGCTGAATTTTGGAAAGCACTTTGGCACATCGTTACAAGCAATTTTTTTGCATCTGTTCATATACAGCACACTTACGGAAGCATTTAACGCAAATGGGCAACCATGAACAACAAAAGAGAGTCGCATTGCCAGGAAAGGTGAACGTTAGCAGGATCTGCCACAATATGCGCGAGGTTGATTGCCTTTAAAGTGGGATAGGCGTATCCATCGTTTCCGCTGTGGCTCCCGGGAAAATACGAAGGATAAGGTTCGCCACATCCAGATCGGTGCATTTGCAAGCGAGAAGCAGAACTGCGATAGGTGGCGGACGCCACGGCAGGAAGACTACCTCCAAGTTGTGGTGAGTACTTCTTCAAATACATCTTCCGACCTAATAGCCCCAATGCCTCTTATAAGACTGGGCATCCATTTCAGTTTCGGGAAGTCAGATTCAGTGTGGAGAGCCAGACAGTGCTC